CATTTGCATTTTCCACAGAGCAAGGGCCCACCTCAGACACCTGACCCCAGCATTTGCGAACATCTAGTCTGTACCACCTTTTGGCTGTATGACTTTGGGTAAATGAGTCTTTCAGAATCTCATCTGTCTTATCTGTAAAATGGGAATGCTGGCAATAACGCCCCTCTTTCAAGGTCACTGGGAGAATGAAATGAGATCATGCTTAGCACAGTGCCTGGACTGGGCACACAATGACTAATGGTGCCACTATTATTATAAGTGTAGTAGTCAAGTGTTTTTGGCATTTGATTCCTGCAACATGGTGCTCACCATCCTTTTTCTCTCCTTACTCACCCCTTCACTTGTAATACACTGAGTTCTTATTGATACAGTGATGTATGGAAGATGAATATGTTCAATAGGTATTTACAGCATAGAGTGGTCAGAGCTGTGACAGGCGAAGTTTGGGGGCTACGGGAACCCAGAGGGGTGCCTTTGTGGTGGTCAGAGGCTCTGGCTTCTGTGTTGAGACCTGAGGAATGGGGACGAATTTACCTGGAGATGAAGAGTGAGAGTGCAAACTGTCAACGCAAATGTCTGGAGGTGAAAACTCCAGGAGGCTGGAGAGACGAGTTCCTTCTGTGGTGGTGGCCAGGCGGGCAGTCGGAGCCAGGCCAGAGTGGTAAACCCGGCCTTGTAAGCCACAAGGGGGAGTTTGGCTTCTGTCCTGAGGACACGTGGCACCATCGAGGGACACTGAGAACAGCAGTGACCTGGGTTTTCTCAGGGAAAGCTGTCTGGTTGCAGATGGAGCATGGATGGGAGAGAGGCAAGAATGGACATGGGGAGATGAGTGAGGGAGTGGATGGGGCCTGGGCTGCTGAAAGCTGTGGAGATGGCGAAAGGTGGAAATGTGCATTCCAGAGGTAATCCTGGCAGGAGCTGACATACAGTCGGGGGATAGGAGATGATGGCTGTGCTCTGACCTGAGCACCCCCGCCCTCTGGGGGACCTGGAAGAGGCACTGGGGCTGAGGGGAGAATGGCACCCTGCATGTCTGGGCACTGGGGTGGGGACTTCATGTACCCCAGGTCCTTGTCTGGGAAGGTACGTGAGGGAGCTTTGGGTAGCTGGAGACAGGATGCAGAGCAGGAACCCAGGAGCCCAGTGTCACACTGGCCTGGACCCCCTCAGCACTCTGTGCAGCTGGGGCTCAAGGATTTCAGTTCAGGCTCTGGGCTGTGGCAGGAAGTTTAGTTCTCTAATCGCTGAGTCCTGAAATGTCTTTTGAGCTTTGAGTGGCCCTAGGGCTCCCTTCCCTATGGTGGTCCTGTGCTTCATGCACTCCTCTCTCTCTCTCTCTCTCTCTCTCTCTCTCTCTCTCTCTCTCTCTCTCTCTCTCTCTCTCTC